TTAGGAATATATGCATATATATGTACTGCATGTGACTATATGTATTGTTTGGTGTCTTAGTTAGGGTTTCTACTGTTATGAAGAACACCATGACCATGGCAAGTCTTATGAAGGAAAATATTTAATTGGGGCTGGCTTAAAGTTCAAAGGTTTACTCCATTATCATCATTGTAGGAAACATGGTGGTGTGCAGACAGATATACTGCTATAGAGGTAGCTTGGAGTTCTACATCTGTATCTGCAGGTGGCAGGAAGTGACAGTGCCACACTGGCCAGGCTTGAGCTACTGAGACCTCAAAGCACTAGAGGATGCAAAGACCTCTAGGGATGCACTTCCACCAACAAATTCACATCTCCTAATGGTGCCACTCCCTATGGACCTATGGTGGCCATTATGTTCAAACCACCACAGTCAGGGTTTCTATTGCTGTGAAGAGACACCATGACCATGGCCACTTTTATAAAGGAAAAAAAATTTAAATGTAACTGGCTTATAGTTTCTGAGGTTTGGTCCATTATTGTCATGACAGGAAGCATGGCAGCATACAGGCAGACATGGTGCTAGAGAAAGAACTGAGAGTTCTAAATCTGGATCGGTAGGCATCAGGATGAGAATGACATAATAGGGAGCCTTGAGCATCTGAGACCTCAAATCCTGCTCACTGTGACACCCTTCTCACAACAAGGCCACACCTATTCCAACAAGGCCACATCTCCTAATAGTGCCACTCCCTATAGGGTGCATTTTTATTCAAACCATCACATTTATATGTGTGTTTGAGCATGTGCATAAAAAAAGAAGAAAAAGAGGCTATGAATTTGAAAAGAAATATTTTAAAGGGAGAGTTAGTTCAGTATTATACACTTGTCTGTCCAAATGTCCAAATATGGCTTACAAGGCCTCTCCATGTAACAACCCACCTGTGACAAGAGAAATGAAAGAGTTTTTAACTGGGGTGTGAGACAAAATCCAAAGAAAATTTGTCAAAATACTTTCATTCCAACCCAAAAGTGATTTCCTCTAAGGAAGTTTATCTGAAAGTCCACATGAAGTATATTTCCTTTCTCTCAAGCTTCTACAATACAACTCCTATCCATGCAAGCAGTTTCAAATTTTTTTGCACTGATTACAAATGAAAACTTATGTTTAAAATACAATTGATCAACATATAGTGTATTTAATTTTTCATGTATTTTTGTGAAAATCTATAAACTCAGACTTATGATCCTCTTGTCTCTACCTCTTCAGCGTATCCCACTTACTAAAAGAAAACCAAGAAAAGATAGCATCAGGTGATAAGTAAGGACAGAATGAAGACACAAAGATATAAAGAGTCACAAATGATGACATAGACTGAACTGTATTGCTAATTTCAATTTTTTTCTTTTGTCATGAATAAATAAATAAAAATGCTGATTAATTGATTTTTCCCTTTTTCCAAATATATATTTTTTTCTCAAATAATATATCCTGATTATGGTTTCCCCTTCTACTCCTCCCACACACTCCCACATCCATGTTCTATCTCTCATTAGAAAACCAACAGGCTTCTATGTAGACAAATTTCTAAATGATCTTATTAAATAAAAAACATGGAGCCAGAAATTTGGGTGAAAGCCTTAAAGAGATCAAGGAAATATGGAAAGCTACCAGCCAACCTTACCTCACCAACTCTGCAGCTTCCAAATGTATGTGGCTTCCTGTCTACTAAGGCTTTATGACTTGCTTTTCTGCCCTCTCATTGACTCTCTTAACCCAGCTACCTCACTTCCTCTTCCTACACAGCTCTGTCACTTTCTGTCTGTTTGTACAGACCTCCAGGTCTCTATGGTTGGTACTGGGATTAAAGGTGTGGCTCTGTTCCCTAGTGTGGCCTTGAACACACAGAGGCCTGCTTGCTAAGTGATAGGATTAAGAGCATGTGCTACCACTGCCTGACTTCTTTGTTTACTTAAAATAGCTTGCTACCTCCTCTGATCTCCAGGCAAACTTTATTAAAGCACAAATAAAATATCACCATATTTCAGCACAAATAAAATATCACCACACTTCTAAATGATAATAATAAAATAATATATACTAAGATAAAACTAAAACAAACACATAGAAATTAGACAAAAGATAAAACTAAAACAAACACATAAAAATTAGATAAAAACAGAAAACAATATTAGCCCAAGAAAAAGCAAAAGAAACAGATAGAGATGGAGAGTCTTACTTGTTTTGTTACTCTGTGATCCCCATAAAAACACAAAACTGGAAGCCTTATATATACACAAAGTACCTGGAAGGCCAAAAAAAAAAAAAAAAAAAACAACCACAGGAAAAAAATTAAAACTATAAGATAAAATTTAAAAAGGAAACAAAGAACTTACAAAAATGCCATAGGGGTTATTTTGCTGTCTGTCTTCTGCTGAGTATGAAGCCTACCCTTAAGAGTGATTTGTTTCCTTAATAAGACATTCTTGGGGAAACTAAATATCCATCTGTAAGTGGTTATCAATTGGAGATGGCTTCTGGGTTAGGGATAGGGGCTTGTGTCCACGTCTTCTTTTAGTTCTGAAACCTCTGCAATGAGGGCCAATATAGTCCCTGTGCATGCTGCCTTGGTCTCTGTAAGTTCATAAGTGCATCAATCCTATTGATTTAGAGGATCTTGTTTCCTTGATGGCCTCCATTCCCTCCAGCTTCTGCACTTTTTCTACCTCCTCTTCCAACAGATTCCCTTATCCCTGAGGGGAGGCATTTGATAGAGCCATCCCCTTTAGCACAGAGTGTTCTAAGATCTCTCACTCTCTGCATAATGTCTGGCTGTGGGTCTCTGTATTTGTTCTCATCTGCTACAGGATGATGCTTCTCTGATGATGGCTGTGCAAGGTGCTGATCTAGGGGGTATAGCAGAATGTCATTATGTCTCGTTTTATTGCTACGTTCCTGTTGCAGACCATTAGTATTTCTTTTTACCCTAAATCCCTGGGCTATCTAGTCTCAACTTCTTGTTCACCCAAGCACTGTTGGATATTGGTTCCACATCACAGAGTGGAAAAGTAAGTTGATAAGTAAAATCAATTATTGGTTGGTTTCTTTTATAAGCTTTGTGCCACCATGGTACTAGCACATCTTGCAGGCAGAACACCATCGTAGATCAAAGGGTTTTGTGGGTGGTTTGGTGTTTACATTTCTCCTTTGGTAGCATGTGTTTTTTCTTCAGTGCAGCAGCTACCCCTAAATCTACTGCTGTTTCAGCTACTGACTGCCCTGCTGCTCAGGCAGAGGCAAGTCCACCGGAACTGCCTCTGCTGCTGCAGTCAAATGTAGTTTTTAACTAAGTCTTTAACCATTCTCTTTTACTAATAAAGACTCAGGAGCCAGATACTGGGGTGAAAGCCTGCTAGCTCAGAGAGGCTGAAAAGCAACCAGCTGAATTTCCTCTTTAGCCGACAACTCACATTCAAAATCCCTCCCTACTACTCCCTGTGTATTTCTCTATCCATTTTCTAGACTCCCTCTAACTTTCTATGACTACTTCTTGTCAACTAGTTGTTGGCTCTGCCTCTTGACCCAAAGTTTTACTTAATTAATACAAATTTAGGGTCACAGTGTGATCATGTATCCTACAACAGTAGCATGCAGAGCATACTCCTTCTGGTACCAAGAACACTAGCTAGTATGGGTAAAAGTTTTAGGTAGGCACTGACTCAACTTTTCCATATTCAATGTATTATGTAGGTGTTGTCTTCAACAATAGTGCCTTTCCATTTGACCCTCCCAATCCAGGCATTAACTTCAGTTAAAAAAAAAATCCCATAGACCAGAAAAAGAAAGAACAGCCAAAGTAGTTGAAAAAACAGAAGTTGAAAGTCAAAATGTCTTAGAGTTGAATCTAAAGTTTGTTACCTTTTACCTACAGAAGCTTTACATGGTTGAGCATAAATTACTGACAATGATCACAAATATTATCATCCTCATCATTGCTACCACTACCATCACCATCATAATGGAGTAGTTACCATGCACCAGCCACTTTTTTTTAGCACTTTGCATATGTCAACACATTTAATTCACTAGTTGGCCCTATTAGGTAGATATCATATTCTTAATTTTAAATGTTGAGAAACTTAATTGCATAAAGAAAAAATCCATTCAAGGACACATAGGAGGTAGGTGAACATAATATTGAGTCAAGGTAATTTTTTGCAACTTATTGACTATCCCAAACACTTATTAGAAACAGGGAAAAGGATAAAAATAGCCTCTTGTGTTTAAAAGTTTCCATGATATAGGTCAAGTTGCTACTTTACATATGTGTCTTATTATTTTAATTTTAAAATATATACTTCATACAATATTCAGAAGATAGTATTTGATTTTATATTCTTCAAAATTTTCACAACTACATAAAACTAAATGTACTTTATTTTATTCTCTTTCCATCACGGATTATTTCCTCCGAAGCATGTGAGAAGTCTCCTGGAATATGTGAGGCCTGAGCATTTAAGCCTGTTCATACTCAGGACTGGCAGGCAGTGTGCATTTGGTGGACAGACTTGGGAAAAAAAAGACCATGTAGAACTTGCAAATGTAGAGACAATGGAAAGAGAACTTGAGGGTCCCCAGTACAAGAAGCATGATCTGGTAGTGGGCAAAATAGAATCCACAAGAAAGACTTCAGAAGTTTACAGAATAATCCCTCTGAGACATGAATAGAAGAGATGTAAATTGTGCTGTGCAGGATGGTCCTTTTTACTCTTAGATTTAAGGATTTAGATCTAAGTATGAGTTAGCCTTATTTCATAAAAACGATGTCCTCCTTTCAATTTGCTTAAAGTTGTTTTATATGAAGCCCTCCACACATACTGGTTAAATATGTGGTGGGGCCATGTAGAATTAGAAGGAGAACAACTTTTACTATTAGTACTTGTGTATGCTTTAATATCAAGTAGGACTTTTTCCCACCATGACTGTTTCATAGTAACACAATATTATTTGTTTTTGGTAGATGGACTGGATGCTTTTACTAGATTTCTTAAAACTGAATTCAGTGAGGAAAACATTGAATTTTGGGTAGCCTGTGAAGATTTCAAGAAATGCAAGGAACCTCAACAAATCATCCTAAAAGCCAAAGCAATATATGAGAAGTTCATTAAGAATGATGCTCCCAAAGAGGTACAGTGATGATGAAAAACACATGTAACTCCTTAACATTTTCACAGGGTCTGTTTTCACCAAGGTGGCCACCTCATTCATTCCACCAGAGACCTCAAGATTTCATTAAAGTGAAACTGGTGAATTGCAGATGCCTACCAATTGACAGAATATAACATAATATTATCATAGGTGAATAGTATAAGGCCAATCTTCAGAGTTAGACCAGCAGTAAATAAAGTTGCAACATTCTGATCCTTTCTATAATCTGTATTAACTATATTAGCAGAAACACTACTTATTAGAAACTAAAGATTTCTGAATGTTAAATACCATGTAAAAATTATGTAGTACTTTACAAGGATATACTGAGCGAGCAGCATTAAAGGTGGTTAAAGGTGTTTATCTCCAAGCCAGAAGACCGGAGTTCAATGCCCAGCCCCCACCTGGTGGAAAAAGGGAACCAACTCTGCAAAGATGTTCTCTGATCTTCACACTATTCTGGGGCATGCATGTCCCCAAAATAATAAATATAATTGGAAAATAATTTTATCTTTTCTACCTACATGAAGTTTTGTTTGTCCAAAGGAATTACTTTATCAGTTTAGGGTAGGCTAAAACAAGATATTTAACAGACAAAGGATGTGACTCCACTTTGGCAGTATTTCAAGTGAAAAACAATTGTTCTTTATTTTGATTACAGCTAACTAAGTTGATCCTATGGTATAGTCGGTAAACTGACTATAGTTTAGCAGCTATTATTTGACTGCCCTAAAGAATTAAATGGTTTGATGTTTCTAGTCTGTATTCAATAGTAGTATTTCCACTTCCAGGGTAGAACAGATGCTCTGTCACTGTTCAACTACAAGTTATTACTATTGTTCTACATTTTGGTCATGAGACAGATACCTAAGATCATTCAAATTAAGGAAAGAAGAAAAGAAAACATTTTGTCTCATGTTTCAGAGGACATGTGGTCCTGTTGCTTTGGGCACTATAGCAAAATTCTATGTAATGGCAGAAATGGTATGGCAGATAAGCTTGCTTAATTTATAGTGGCTGGAAGTAAAGAGAGGAAGGCAGGACATGGGAGAAGACAGAAAGGGATCCAGGGAGAGAGATCAGAATTCCAGTATCCCCTCAAAGAAGGGCTTCAATAACCTAACTTCTTTCCACTACATCCTAAGGATTCCATCACTGTCCAATAGTGCCACAGGGTGGCAAACAAAACTTGATTATTATAATTATATTAACAACTCTCTGGGAAATTTTTAAAACCAAAGTTAGTACATAGTCTATAAAGTAATACACTCTACATGGATATGTTGCTCTAGGAAAGGGTGTTTGTTTAGTTATGTAAAAATATAGCAGATTATATGGTTACCCAAAAGTGGAACACAGGATAGCTTCCTGAAAATATAATATTAGTATCAGATACATCAACAAGAGTATGATTAAAAAAAGTTAAAGGATATTTTATGTTTAAGACACACTGATCTGTTGGCACATTTTTTTGCTTGTAGGGAAAAATAACATGACAGAAAAAGTAGCAACTTAAACAGAAAGGTCTTATTGATATCACAGCTGTGCCCCAAGCTTCTCATTCCCTATAACTTAAACACTTTCAACTTCTGAAACTTTAGCTCCCCACTGTGAAAACTGGTGAGTTAATGTGATGATCATAAGATAGCTACTATTGCATTTTTCAATTGTGCTATTAGAATAGGCATAACTATTAACAAAGAGATAGGAAGTGAGACACTAGCCTAGAATACACCACTGTATCCCTAGAACCTAGCAGAAAATACCCCAAGATTCAAACATGCCACAGCCCTTCAACATTGTAAGAGCATGAGATGTTCTCAAAGACATTGTATTGGTAGCATATAATTGTTCCTTTTTTCCTATTGATGCAGGTTAACCTTGATTTTCATACCAAGGAAGTAATTGCTAAGAGCATCACAGAGCCAACTCTCCAAAGTTTTGATCCAGCACAAAGCAGAGTCTATCAGCTCATGGAACAAGACAGCTATACACGCTTTCTAAAGTCTGAGATCTACTTACATTTGCTAGAAGGAAGACCTCAGAGACCAACCAATCTGAGGAGACGATCACGATCATTTACCTACAATGAGTTTCAAGATGTAAAGTCAGATGTTTCCATTTGGTTATGAGTAAAAGTAATGTTTCTTATTTTGATGGAAAATGTATACATCTACTTCTAAAATATAGCTTATGTATAGTAAGAAATGATCACACTTTTAAAATAAACCAAGTAAAACATTTTTAAAATGTAATAACTTTTATATTAAAATAATACTCAAGAGGCAGAGCCAGGAGGATCTCTGTGAGTTCGAGGCCAGCCTGGTCTACAAAGCGAGTTCCAGGAAAGGTGCAGCGCTACCCAGAGAAACCCTGTCTCGAAAAACCAAAAAAAATTAATAACAATTCATAGTCTATATTCATGAAAACCTATTTTGATATTCTACTCATAATAAAAAAACCTTTATTTCTTCAATAATCACCAGTAAAAAGATATCAGCAAAGCTTTGTAAAATGTTGAAGTATAATGTAAACTTTGCAGTTATGTCATAAATGTGTTTGGATTATTTTTCTAGGCATAAATAATGTACTTAAATAACTATATATCCATATGATATTGTACAGAATGATGGGTTGCAACATATAGAAATGATCCACTTCTTATAAAGTGGAAGTTTGGACATCTATTGTTGCATACTGATTCTGACTCCAGAATAGCTGTCTGTCACTTCCATATTTAAACCAGCAACAAGGGATCATATAAAGACACATTTCTCTCTACCGATTAAACAGGTTAATCATGACCCAGTTAGATATGTGAGACTAGACTTTGCAGTCATATCCACTGTAACTGGTGAACATCTTTCAATAGACAGAGCTACACCTCTGGACACTGGAGCAGGCTCATATTAATATATCTCTACACATCCACTAAATGGACAACATTGTCTCCTAGTAAATGAACATGCCACTGATGACACCAATCAGTGCCTGAATGATGATGACCACATGCTTTCACAGAAGTATGAATATCTCACATTTGGAATTTTAAAGTTAGGGTAGAAATTTAAAATGAGAAGCACTGAAAAAAGAAATCTAAAAACTTGACCACATTGGCATCTGCCAGTTCTGTTCTCTCATTATTATGTTCTTCTAATTCTTGTCTAATAATAAATTATTAAGTAAGATTATACTAATAAATATATGTCTCTATATTACAGAAATATTTAATTGCAATGTGTTACATGGTCTGTAAATGTCTGTATTAAAGATGGCATATTTTCAGATTATTAAAGGCTATCATTTTAGTTGAAGTGTAAAACAAATTCTACCATCTATAATAATAAACTGTTCAAACTTATCTATTAATGTCATTTATTTCACAAGATATTTTTCCCAACATCTCCATGTTCTTATCTTTGAATGACATTGAGATAGAAAAATCTTTTTAACTATTATGTCATTGATATTAAAGTTAATAATTTACACTTTAATTATGGAAACAAACTACTATATATTTCAAAGAGCCACTAGGAAGGTGATTCTTAATTTTTCTTAGGCTGATTTATACTTTTTATAGGAAACATATCTCTTCCATAGAATATAATTGTATTATATACTTAACTAAGATGACACATGCTTTCTATTCTGATTATGAAATTTATGGTTTGATTTTTACTAGCATTATTTTAGAAAATACATACACACAAGATAGATAGATAGATAGATGATAGATAGATAGATAGATAGATAGATAGATAGATAGATAGATAGAATTTATTTATTCAGAATTTACCAAGTAAGCTTTAAAATAGTCACAACAGCCAAATCGTACATGAGCCTGAGAAACTGGTACTCTGTCCTTGAGGCTGGGAGCCTCAGTGGGAGTAGTCTCAGAGCAGCTGTTATCACTAGGGTGCAACAGACTGCTACATATCCAGGCCACAAGGCAGGATGCTGCAGTCTTCCCAGTCTTGTGCCTTGAACAGGAGAAGTTCCTGAAAAACAGCTGGTCCCTTTTCCAGGATGAAAATTTGGAAACTCTGGTTCTACTGACTGTAGCTTAAGTTTTCCTGACTGTCCCACAGTCAGGACAAATCTCTGACACCTGCCAGTCCCACAGCCACTCAAACCCGACCAAATAAACACAGAGACTTATATTGGTTTCAAACTGTATGGCCGTGGCAGGCTTCTTGCTAACTGTTCTTACAGCTTAAATTAATCCATTTCTATTAATCTATACCTTGCCACGTGGCTTGTGGCTTACTGGTACTTTACATCTTCCTTATCCTGATGGCGGCTGGCAGTGTCTCCTCTCCCAGCTTCCTGTTCTCTCAATTTTCCTCTCTGTTAGTCCCGCCTATACTTCCTGCCTGGCCACTGCCAATCAGTGATTTATTCATTGACCAATCAGCAACACATTTGACATACAGACCATCCCACAGCACCTCCCCTTTTCTTTTCTTAAAAAGGAAGGTTTTAACCTTTACACATCTCCAAAGTCAGCTTGGTATATTTGGGAATTTGGGCGTAGCTTCTCTTACTACTTCCTGCTGGAGGTGGGCGCTGTATCTTCTGGGGACACAAAGAAAATTTTAGGATCATGGAGTAGTCCGTGAGGCTGTATCATCTGAGCCAGTTGCCTTGAAACCATTCTGGATGTTGGATCATCTGGGCCATGGTGTCATCGGAGACCTTTCAGGGGGTCTTGGCTGGTCAAACCTGATGTATCTTACTCTGGAACAAATCCATAGCCTCTTGCTTTCTGTGGAAACAAAAGAGACTCTTTTCCAAAGCAACATAGCCTTACATCCAAATTTTGAAGTCAAAGTATCTTTAAAATATACGTACTGGTTTAACTCAGCTTCCTTTACAATCAAACATCTCTCTGTAGTTTAGAATCCCAAAGACAACACAATCCAGACTCTCTGTGTAATAGTCATCTCTACGTGGCTTATTTTTTATATTAATTTTACTGTCTCTTTAAAGACTTTATTTTTTAAAACCATGTATTTGTTTCTATACTGTATATATCACCTTTTTTGTCTCTTTCAAGCCTACATATATTTTACACACATTGTAAACTATTACATCTGAATCTGTCTTATTGTGAATCTGTTGCTTTAAGCTGCAGCAGCTGTGGCTGCTGGCTCCGCCCACCGCAGCTTCCCAACATGGCTGTGGTTTACCACCAGCTCTGGGAGCTATCGTGGGTCTATGCTTTTATCCAAGCAGCGTGTAGTCCAGAAACCTCTTTTTTTTTTTTTGTTTTGTACTAGCAAAGGCTAAATCCACAATGTAGCTTAATGTGCCACTTGTAGAGGCCTCATTCCCGCCATACTGCAGGTCGAGTGCGCACGCCAGCAACCCGCCAGTAGCTCAAACCGGCAGCTGCCGCTCATTTGAGAGAGACAATTAGGAAGCTGTTTTTAGCTCCGTTTTAGAATCTTTTTTCTCAGTTTTTAGGTGGAAACTCTTGCCACCACGTTGGACGCCATTTGTATTTGACAAATTCAGAGAAAATAATTTCATTATCTATCCTATTTTGTTAAGTCCAAAATGTATCTAATTCACTTTCTATCCTAATTAATCTTCAACTATAACTAACTAACCTTCAACTATAGCTACCTAATCTTCAACTCCCTCAGAGACCCAAGAAGGAAATAATATTAGCTAACAAAAATAAAAACAGAAAGTGCATGCAAGCAACTTCCAAAAAATTTGTGAGTTGACAGAAACAGCCAGCTGCCTGGACAGTCACCTGAGGTTTCTCCACAGTGTTGGGGCATCATCTTCAGCCTATAGGCTTAGCATATCTGACAGACTCATTTGTGAAGTAGGATGTACACAAGGTCAACAGTTCAACCTCACATTGGGTGAGAGCAGTCCATGTACCAGAAACACCTGAATTCCACTAGTGTCATGTCATGATTCAGGATTTTAAATTCTGGAAATTGTTGTTGATTTTTTAATTCAGCTGTCCATTCTTCTTGGCTGTGTATATATGGCTTCATCTTAGCATCCCATTCTTCTCCACATCCCTCTGTCAAATGCCAGTTTACTATTGCGAGGCGTGAGCTTAGTTATTCTTCAAGAATAACTGTTTCAGCTGCTGTTCCATTGCACATCAGAAGCCATCGGCCCACTGCCTGTTCAGCTGCCTTCGAAGAAAAGGGCACTGTACCTTTTCCGAATTGCGAAGGCCACTTCAGGGATGGTGCCATATTGTCCTGGCCTCAGAAGATGCCTTTTGATAAAGCCATAACCACACTTGTTTTGGCAAGAATCAGTAGTCCTTTGTTTCATGTCCTGTCTGTCCATTTTGTCAGCAGTTGATTCAAGGATACTTTGTTGTCCAGTGGCTAACTTTTGCCACAATGAAAGTTAACTCCATATGCAGTTTCTTCAATGCCCATATTTTCCCTGAAGTAGATTGGTACTGCCAGGAGCCGACATGTCTCATAATCATAACAAAAAAGAAAAAATTTCTAAGTTATTAAAACATTTTAAATGCCATATTCTGTAGATCTCTGAAGGGTTTGAAGATGACCTGTCTAAAATATATCTGCTCAATTTTTAAAACATATCTAATATGACTACAAGTTCTATTGTAATGTCTAACTACTAACTTTCATTTCTTTATATCCTAATAGTTGGTAATAATAACATTCAAGGATCAGAAAATTGCATTGTTAAATGAACGGTATAAGTACAATTAGAAATATATATATATAGCATTTTCTAACAATATCAATTTCAATATATATAATTTGTATACAATATAAAACAATCCAATCCAATATAAAGTATTTAAAACTAGTAATTGTCTTTTTCTTCTTCTTTCTTTCTCTTTTTTTTTTTAAACAAGAACCTTAAATCTAATCTCCTTTTCTTAGCCTTTTTCCTAACCCTTGACAACAACTTGTAACCAACTCCCCTAAACAATGAAAATTATCCCAGACCCAAAACCCATTAAAAAGACCAAAAAACCACCCGCCCCACACCACCTCTTTGGGAATGTGGGCGTCGTATTCTTAAAATTGCTTCCATTCTGAGGTCAGCACATCCTTAAAGTATATAGGCTGATTTAATTCTGTAGTTTTTTCTATTATCCAATGTCTCTCTGCAGCTGTTGTTCCTTTCTCATTGGCATTAAGAAAATTCAAAGTTAATAGAGCATTATGCAGTCTGTTTCTGGGGGTTTTTGTTACCCCTTTCTGTTTATTTAGCATATCCTTTAGAGTTCTGTTTGATCTTTCCACAATTGCTTGACCTGTAGGATTATGTGGTATGCCTGTAATATGCTTTATATTGTAATAAGCAAAGTCAAAGTATCTTTAAAATATACGTACTGGTTTAACTCAGCTTCCTTTACAATCAAACATCTCTCTGTAGTTAAGAATCCCAAAGACAACACAATCCAGACTCTCTGTGTAATAGTCATCTCTACGTGGCTTATTTTTTATATTAATTTTACTGTCTCTTTAAAGACTTTATTTTTTAAAACCATGTATTTGTTTCTATACTGTATATATCACCTTTTTTGTCTCTTTCAAGCCTACATATATTTTACACACATTGTAAACTATTACATCTGAATCTGTCTTATTGTGAATCTGTTGCTTTAAGCTGCAGCAGCTGTGGCTGCTGGCTCCGCCCACCGCAGCTTCCCAACATGGCTGTGGTTTACCACCAGCTCTGGGAGCTATCGTGGGTCTATGCTTTTATCCAAGCAGCGTGTAGTCCAGAAACCTCTTTTTTTTTTTTTGTTTTGTACTAGCAAAGGCTAAATCCACAATGTAGCTTAATGTGCCACTTGTAGAGGCCTCATTCCCGCCATACTGCAGGTCGAGTGCGCACGCCAGCAACCCGCCAGTAGCTCAAACCGGCAGCTGCCGCTCATTTGAGAGAGACAATTAGGAAGCTGTTTTTAGCTCCGTTTTAGAATCTTTTTTCTCAGGTTTTAGGTGGAAACTCTTGCCCCACGTTGGGCACCATTTGTAGCTTAAGTTTTCCTGACTGTCCCACAGTCAGGACAAATCTCTGACACCTGCCAGTCCCACAGCCACTCAAACCCGACCAAATAAACACAGAGACTTATATTGGTTTCAAACTGTATGGCCGTGGCAGGCTTCTTGCTAACTGTTCTTACAGCTTAAATTAATCCATTTCTATTAATCTATACCTTGCCACGTGGCTTGTGGCTTACTGGTACTTTACATCTTCCTTATCCTGATGGCGGCTGGCAGTGTCTCCTCTCCCAGCTTCCTGTTCTCTCAATTTTCCTCTCTGTTAGTCCCGCCTATACTTCCTGCCTGGCCACTGCCAATCAGTGATTTATTCATTGACCAATCAGCAACA